CCCCCCCCCCCAAGACCACCCTTGCTCACGTTCACCAGCTTTTGTGTAGACGCTGTGTCGCGGCGACGTGTAACACAGAATGGCAATTTGCCGTCTTTTGTCGCGAGTTTGCGTACAGTATGCTTTGAATTATTTATGTGTTCTTGCCAACTTCGCGCGGAACGGAAAGCCCTGGTACATGCCGTCTGACCGCAGGTACCTCCGACTAGCGGCCCTCGACAAGTCCATGCGAGAAAAAGAAGTGGCGAACAAAGAAGGAAAGGCGGGCGAAGACGCGGAGTCAGGGTCGGAGGGTAACGACTGGACCCGCGTGGTTCGAAGAGGGGTGGGACAGGCGGACACCGTTTTAAATAGTAGGCCTGTGTCGGTGGTTGCCGGCGTTTCCGAAGTGGGCGGCGCAGCAAAGTAGAAATTTGGAGATTTTCGCTGAAGCCTTGTTTCGCTCAATGGTGTAACAGGGGGCTCCGCACACTGATGGGGGGTGGGGGGAGTAGACGAAGGTTGCACGTGCCTTCCGCACACCAGGTATTCGCTTGCGAAATGGGAGAGAGAGGCTGGAGTTGACGGGCATCCCAGGAGTCGTGCTCTGTCGACAACGGAACCGGAATTGAGCGACATAGCCGTAACATGACACGCGCCCTTCGAGTTGCGAAGGAGCGTGTGCTTTGACTTTTCGACCCCCCCCCCAGACACGAGGAACACCTGAGCGTGATGTTGAGTCTGACGACGACTTCCCGACGAGCCCTACATGCGTTCATCCCCACGCCCAAAGTCTAAATCAGGCCCAAACAAGCTTCTCCTCCGTTTAACCCCTTCAGGGCTAGATCGCCTTTTTGGGACACTTTTTGTCCCCATCTTGTTCACCTGCTTTACCTCGCGAAGAATGACACGATTGTCTCCTCCTTTGAATTACTCGACCAGGGGGGTGCCAGGGTACACGGGGACGGCTCTAGTTTAGTATGGATGCTTTGAAGAGTGGAGGAGTATGAGGGTAATGATCAGGTCGAATCGGGGGGCGATGACGCCGCGGGTTCAACAGCGAAGTTGTGCCACGTCTGTCTACCCTTGGGTGGAAAGCGCTACTAGGGGCAAGCGCGGAAGAAGTACCTAGCCCACCGTTGATAGGAGGCACCGGGCAACCTAGGGCTTGGGTTAAAAGGTCTCGCTTTCCCTCTAGAAATATATCTTGGAAACCTCCTTTTCGTGCCCCGTTTACCACGCTCCCGCCAGTTGTTGATTTTCTGTGCGTGGTAAGGGGGTTAATTCCAGTAGACAACGCATACACAAGCAAAATGTTTTTACCGCGAAGCTGGACGGAGAATGTTTGGGGGCCAGATCACCTGATGGGCACCCTTTTTGAACTGCCCTTTTGAACTGCCCTTCATCTCCCCCCCCCCCCCCCCCCCCCCNCCCCCCCCCCCCCGCCCCGCCCCACCGAGCGAAGACCACCTTCATCGTTGGAAGTGTTTTCACAGAGGTTCTTGCGTGTGCGTGCGCAAAAAAAGAAGCACAGCTGCCTCCCACCCTGGAGCTCCTCACCTCCTCATGTACATTGGCTTATCGCCACAATGGTACAAAACGCGGTTAGAAAATTTGTTACGTAGGCCACAGGAACCGCTCTCGTGACCCTCTGCGGTTTCTTCGAGATGGACGCAATGGACAAAGCACTCGCAGTGTTCGCTTCTCCATCGCCCGCGATTGGGCTCTACCGAGAAGATTAAGAAAACCGTTAGTTCCGGGAAGCGCGCACCACGGATTTTACCACGACGTATTCTTCTTCGGAGCAGACCCCCGTCGCGCAACACCGGCACCCCAAGACGAAATGGGCCCGTTTGTGGATTTGGCTGAGTCGAGAAGGAGGGGTCACGGGGCCGTGATGTCGATTCTTGGTTCGAACGCAAAAATTGCCTCTTAGCCAAGTTCGATCCCCCTGTTTGCAAAGGTACATGTGGTCTCACGCTGGCAATGTTTAAAGTTCCCCCGCTCTCCACCACACGATGCAAATGCACCCCTCCTTCCACACCAGCGTTAAGCACACAACAGCACACAGCACTGGCACACAGTAATGCAGCAGTGGGGCCGAGAGGAAAAACACAGTATCGTACTGGTCAGGGCTCTACTCCCAAACGGGGTGCAGCACCACGGCACCCTTTTGGCGCGCCATTTCGGCTTGTCTTGGACTACAAGTCATGGACTACAGCAGTACCTCCCAAGATGTACCCATGCACCGGCGTGGAAGCTCTGCAGTCGTCCCTGAACGGTTTGTAACACCTACGGGAATAGTCGTTGCGAAAGACCCTATCAAGGCTCAGAATCTGTTCTACGACAAACTCCCGAAGCAATGCGAGATCGTCGTCAGCGTCTCACAAGCCTCCGTGCCGTATTCTCGTCCGCATGGTGCCGTCGATCTGCGAAGAGTGTGGCGGATTGATATCGGGAGTGACGGGGGTGTTGGGGGGCTGCGAAATCAAAGGAAGAGGTGGCACACGCGCCAGGAGCATGCCTCAGAGCTTAAGCCCCTATTATTAGGACAAATGACAAAATGGGACACAAGAAGCGAGCGTAACCAGCAGAGAGGTCTTGCAGCACGGAACGTTTAGTCGAAGGCCGAAATAGTCTTATCAAAACGCTGACAACGCAGAATTATAGAAATGTGGCGTGAACGGACAATGTGTTGATTGATGCTACAGGCCCTAAAGAGGGCTGCGCTTGTTAATGCCATCCCTACAGCAGTTCTCTGAGTCTTTCGGAGTTCAAAACCACCGCGGTGTACAATCGACGTGGAAGCTTGGACTCAGAATCCCCCCCTGCCCAGCAGTACCTCGTACACCCACCTCCCCCTATTTGTTCTCCCTGTTCCCCCCAGGGTCGTTATACGAGAGGCGTTGCGGCACACATCTCCCACTGACGTGTCCGTAATGAGTGTACCCGTGCGATGACCTCCTACTGTAGTTTGAGTGTCAGGGGACTTGTGACGGCGAGGCCCCTTTAGGGCAACACCGTGCGTTGGGATAAAATTGCAATCTTCCAGTCTCACTCCCTCCTCCCATCTTATTTCTGATATTCTAAAAGCCCTATCGATTGTTCGAAATCGAGGCAACAGCAGTTGAGGTGATCGTTGACCAGGCTTGAAAGAGTTAAAACAGTCTTTCCAAATGCTTGAACTTGCACGTTGTAACGAGTGAGGCATTGAGGCAAAATGTATCAACGGTATTCGTGAGTGCGTTGTGAAGTTAAGTGTATTGTGGTGCGGCCCTTCTTTCTTTTGCAAAGGCAGGCGTACTATGCATCAGAAATGTTCCCACAGCAGTTTTTCTGTCTTGCCGGTTGTCACAGAAGGCAGCACAAGGAGCGGAGGCCTGGGCTGATGGCATTGGTTGAAGACAGGCAGGCCTAAGGATGCACGGCATGCTTTCGTTTTCCAACTCGTTTTGCTTCGAAAACAAGGAGCACCACCGTCACGCCGCACGACTAGAAAACGAAAGTCGCACATGAAGTCGCAGCTACGTTTTATCTGCTTTGGAAGGCTACGGTGGGGAGGGAGGGAGAGGGAGAGGAAGGAGCTGGAGACTGGGAGGCACTAAAGTATAGAGCTGGCGCTGCTGTGTTTAGTGGGTAGACTTATGCAGGGGTACACGTTCTCACCTCTACATCGTCGTCGTCGGCAGTAGCTTTCAGCCATAATCTGTACGCTCCCACAGAGAGAAACCCAGTCGCCAGCACACCGGCAATCACAATTAGGCTCATCGTCGTTGTGGTTGTTGCCTCCAGCAGCGGCTGCCGTTCTCTCTGCTCCCTCAGGTCTGGCGGAACAACCCAAAATAGCTCAGCTTATGCTAGCTTTTCCTGCTGCTCACGCAGGAAGTCAATGTCAACCAAAATAGAGGAATGCTCCTACTTTCCAGGAATTTTGCCTGTCGTGTGCTCTAGGTTCGTCGACAGTCTACACACCCGTCGTCATTAGCCTGCGTGATCCGTGATCCACATCCATCGGTCTGTGCATGTTGAAGAAATGCGGCGGAATTACTCACCTCCCCGGCCCCAGCAATTTGCCGTCCACGGGTACCCAACATCTTAGTAGATTCTCGCTCGCGTTCCCCCTACGCTATCCTCTGGCTCTGCTGAGCCCTCGTTCAGACGTTCATCTTGTTTCAGGCCAAGCCTTAATCGATTCAAGGTAAGTTCTCCCTGCACGCCGGTGCGTTGTTTGCACGCACCCATGGGATTGCCTGTGGTCTTGAGGCCGGGAAATGGAGGATTCAATGCGAGAGAGGGCTTGGACACCTCAACCGGTTTTCCCACACACACCTTTCAAGAGCCTGATGGACACCGCGAGGGCTAGAGACAGTCGGGCCTCATCCCACACCCTTTCAGCCGGAGCGTGCGTGCAGCAGCTAATGTTCCACATTCTACCCGCACGCGTTGTGTGGTTTTGCGTTGGTGGATCAAGGTTTTACTACGCTGCGTTGTCAACAACAGCCCCCTTCTCCACCCATTTGCCACCTCTGCTTCTGTTGTCCCTCTCTCCTCACCGTCGTCGCCGTCGGTGCGTGGATGGTGTGCACCCACCGCCACAGATGCGTCACCTGGCTACCTACATGCTCCTTGTCCTCGGCGGGAACGCCTCCCCCACCAAGGAAGACGTGACCACCGCGCTCGCCGCGGTCGGCATCGAGGTGAGTTGCTTGCTTGTTTGTCAAAGCCCCCGCCTCCGATGAAAATGCCAAATGCTCCCAGCAGCGCGCCCTCTCCTGGTTGGGATCCTTGTCTCTTGTGCCTGTGGCTGGCAAGGGTTTCCGGGCAGGCCCGCTGTGCATCCATACGTCTTTGCTGTGGCGGTTAAAAGAAAAAGCTGGCTTGTGTTGATTGTTAGGTTGCTGAGAGTTTTCCAACCCTGTCGATCTCTTGGAACTTCAGCACTCAGTCGGGGCCAATGTCTACAGCAGTCAGTACAACCAGCCAGTGCATCAACTACAAAATACCACAGCACGCAGCCACCCCCCCCTTGGCATCAGTGCTGAAGACAGAGAGCTGCTTACCTCCAGGCGCTGTTGCTGTTCTGCCGCCTCTACGTTCATCCCATTTTGGCAGGAATAGCAACAGCGGTTCGAGTTGTCTATGTGTTGGCATGGTGGGAGCAGAACGGCACAAAAATCGGTGAAGTTATCTTGCCACTACACCAAACACCTCGACTGTGTCTGCGTGCCGCGTACAGTAGTGTACCCGAAAATCATCGTGGTGACACATTCGTTGCTCACAATGACATCCCTGTTTTGAAACTTGAGGCTGCGATAGCGTCGCCGTTCGCGGCGACGCGTTGATCACAACTCTGAAACGGCAGGAACACAAAAAAAGGTCTCGTGGACGCCTCCCTCGTCTCTAGCAGGGGCGAGAGGCAGGTACGCGTGATCGAGTAGCCATTGCTTACCGTGCAGACTTGCCTCTTTTGATCCCCAAGGCCGGCGCTGCCCCGAGGCGATGGTAAATACCTTTGTATTGCATACGATGGTGTTGTATTGCATTGCATACCATGGTGTGGAACGTGTGTACCTTTCTGTGTTCCTGTTTTTCTGTCTTGTCGCGGAACCCCACATGCAAGCACGCTTGTTTTCTTTTCCCACGCCGCTCACCGCTTCAAGACCCAGTCGTCGATCATGAACTTAGCTGGTGACCTTTCCGATGTCTCTCAAGACCTGAATTCCCCGTAGTGCTTTCTTTCCCCTTGTTCGGGAAGCGCTTACTCCATGCAGTTTGTGCTAACGATACGACTTGACTTGTTCACCGAATCGAACATGTGGCACACGTCAAGTTCTCCTTGCTCACTTTCCATGGCCGCCGTCTTTTTTTCGTCCCCCCGTGTTTCCTTGATTCTTGTGTTCTTTTGTGTGGCAACACGACCACGACAAAGTGCGACGAGGCTCGCCTCGACCAGCTCATCGCTGACATGGCTGGCAAGGTAAGCAAGACACGGCCATGTTTCTGCTTGCGTTTTGTTTTGGCTCCCTTGAGTGCGCCGACTTCCCCCTCCCCAAGTGATGGCAAGTATTTTTTAACATACAGTAGCCCCACATGAATTGCGTCCGCGCAAGTTTGCTGCTGTGTGCCCTGAATTGCATATGTCACTGAACTCCCATGCACATTTTTTTTGTTTAGCCTACGAAGAGGTGCTGATCGTAGCCCGCGTTCCTGTGATCTTTGGTGTTGGTCCCGGGGATTGGTTTTTGTCGGGGAGTTTTATGCACCCCGACCCGCGAAATATCGCACGCTGTGTGCACTATCTCAGCAATGTGCAACACAAGCAACATCGCCCCAATTATTTGACTTTTTTCTGTACCACCCCTGTACGCATGCAGGACATCGCCGCCCTTATCGAGGCTGGTAAGGGCAAGCTCGCGTCGTTCGGCGGCGGGGGCGGAGGCGGTGGTGGTGGCGGCGGTGGTGGTGGTGGTGACGCTGCCCCTGCGGCCGAGGAGAAGAAGGTGGAGGAGGAGGAAGAGGAGGAGATCGACATGGGCGGCGGCATGGACATGTTCGGCGGCGGCGACGAGGGTAAGGGTCAAGGACGCAGTGCTTGTTTTTTGCTTTTCACTCCTGTTGTGTGCGGTGGAACATATTTGTCCTAAAAGAGGATTGATTCACGGGAACACGTGCGCAGTTTCTTGTGGGTACGATGAGTGGTTGTGTGTTGGGTACTGTATTTCTTGCGTGCTTCCGTGTGATGATTTGTAATGGACCGAGCTCGTGATTTGTTGGATTGAGATATTCCGAAGTACGTTTTGATTGACTCGATGCCATCGTCCGTTCGGTAGCCCCTTTACGGCTGGTTTTCGCGGCACGGGCGTGCTGCACTCTGAATACAGATCAGACTTGACCGAAAACGGCTTTGCTTAATCTGACTCTCACGCAGCATACATGCCAGTATCCCCCCGTTCCCAACCCAACCCGCCCTCACTGTTCGTTTTTCATGAGGGCGATACGCCTCCCGTCTTCCGGTATTTTTGTGTTTTGACCTCTCACTGGCGGACCTTGACTGTATCTAGTTCCCGTCGTAGCCCTTTTAGGCCGTAATGCACGGCGTTTATGTTCCGATCATGACTCATGTTCGGCGACGGCTTTGTGTGTCTTTGGATGAGTCAGCAGCGTGCAGTAGTCGCTGCTGCAGTTATGATATTTCGCGCTCTCACCTGTGCCAAATCCGACATCACCTTTGTATGGCACATGCGTATTTCGTGGACTGCTGACATATCGGTTTGGTTTTTTGTCACAGTACGTGGCCTGACCAGATATTTCGCGTCACTGTGCTCTGTTGCGTTGTACGCAGACATACTGCCCTGCTTGCCCCCTTGCCTCAGCCCCAAAGCTTGCTGCTGCACGTACTCCGGCCAGACTTCTTCACGTCAGTGCTGAGAACAATAACGTGTCTTCGCGCGACTGACAAGTGCTTGCGGTCTCCCCCCCGTCTGCTCGACTCGGACCTATTTCGCTTTGCGCAGGCGGAGGAGACTACTAGGCGGCGAGCGGAGGATACTCCGCGCGCATGATGCAAGGATGTGCTCGGGAGCGTTAGCCCTCAGCCGAGCTCGTATCATATCACGGTTGCTGTCCCGCTGCTTGCTGCCCAAGCAAGTTTGAGGAGGCCACCCTACTCGCTCATATGGCGTATTCCAACCGTTTCTAGGATATGCGATTGGATTGGGTTTGCGTGCCTTGGTCGATCTTGTCCTTGGAGCGGTGTCCTTTTCCTTGGTGTGCTGGTTATAGCATCATAAAAAAAAGAAAATGGACGTCGTCCGGCTGTACATCTGTGCCACTTTGCTTGCCTCGGAGCGCAAAGCTCACAGGAATGCCGCGAAGCAGGGCCGAGGTCATGGAACGTTCGTGGCGGTGTTGACGTTCTGGCTTGCCGTTTCTAAACACACGACGAGCAGATGCGTTACACGCGCACGTCCGCGGAGATCGAACCTGAGCTCCTGCTCTTGCTCTGGCCACGGCATCTGCGGATAACCTGCCACGAGCGTGAACTTGAAGCAGCACGTTTGCATCCGCACGTCACGCGCTGTTACAGCTTGCATTTTTGCCGGTGTTCATGGCACACACTTGGTATCTACGGCAAGAGCACCTGCATTTCTTCGTTCGACAAGCCTTGCTGCTTCTTCGCATCAACCGCGCTAACCCGCGGACCAATGAAACTTCGCGTGTGTCAAGCGCGGCCGAAAGACACCATGGGTGCATGCATGTATCTTGCCGTCAAATATACTCTGGGAGTCGGCTATGTAACGATGGCTTTGATCAGACGCGCGACGAGCCGGAAGAACAACGGGCAGATGGCCCCAGACGACTGTTTTGTTTTACTTTCTGTACTATCCTGCCTTTGCGGCGCCCGCCTGCAGTCCTGCGATGTCAAATTACTCCGTTGGTGCTTACAGTGGGTCGCATCATGCACCACACCGTTTAGGTTTCGAACCTTCAGCCTGCTGTTCACCAGCGGGCAGCACGCCATGCCCAGGTACTTGTGTTGCTGCCGTTGTGAAGGCCTCATCCGCTTCGTGAAGGCCTCGGAAAAGTTCGGTGCTCGCCGAGGGAAGCTATCCAAAACAGCCCCCCGCGAGTCGTAGCGAACACAGGCACGCACGCACATTGACTTTGTGCGGTGGCACTACCATCTTTTGGTCATCTAGTTGGCCGCTGGGTGGCATCGTTGATGCCAAATGAACGCGTGCTTGCCCGCTGCGTTTTGACAGTCCCGTCATGAGAACACGCGCTACCCCTCTCTCATCGTGCCCCCAGCGCCAAAATGTTGTGAACGAACGTTTTTATTTCTCTCCTTGGTACAGTCGTTCAAACTTGTCGCGCCTCAGACTTTAGTTTTTCCGTGTTGTGAAGCCCGTACAAAGCCCGTAACGGTTTTGTCGGGGAATTGCAAAGGACCGGAGTTCCAGATGCAATAGAGGGCAGAAACGAAGCATTTCCGATGTAGAAAACCGAATGTGACACACGCGCGTCTGGCGATGAACAAGACGAGGTCCGGAGATATCGGGTGAATTCGTTGGCGACTGCCGTGAGGCGTCTTCAACCACTCGAAGAGCCTAGAGGACGTCACGAATGGCGTCAAAGGGATGAAGTATCACGGGGAACCGTGATTTGGTGAAATGAAGATTTCATGTCAAACAGGGAATACAAATTATTGTTGTCCAAAGTATCGTCAACTCGAGGGATCGGAAGCTGGCTCAAAGCACAGAGAGAGGTTGATAAGCTTGCGATAGTTGACAGGGATGCGCACACCACTACAGCTTTCTTCGGTATGACAACAAAACAGGGGCTCGACGAAATGAGCGCTCTTCCTTCTCCTCTACTGAGCCTCGACATCACGCTGGGAATCGCCGTTCCAACGGTGGTAGAGTAGTTCCCCGACTTTTCTCTGGGTGAAGTGGACGCGATGTTTTCCTGCACAGCGAACTTGATAATTACCATTCTGCGGCAGACAGATCGTGAACAAATGCAGTGGCGCCACAGCTGTCATGCTGAGCTACGGGAAGCTCACCAAATCGCGCACACCAGGACGTTTTACACGCAAAGTGCACGGTAAGAGCGGTCGCTAACCGCATCCAACTATCCCTGCGGAGGAGCACATTATGGTTTATGGTGCATGGCACCTTCGGGAACGACGAGCAAGCGAGGAAGTAGGCAAGCTGTCACGGAGGAACTGAACGCTCAACCGGAGCTCGACTAATCAATCAACGTAGATACCGCCGAAAAATGCAATATACGGTCTACCGTCAAAACAACCACGGTAGTATTGCATTACTACCGCCGCGTTTTTGTTTGGCCACCTCGCCAATAATCGTTATCGCCAAGTAACCCAATAGTCTAGATATTATCACCACCTTCACCGCCGAAGCAATTGCCGCCTCACGGTATTACCACCGAAATTGTGTCCGCCTAGAACAACAGCGTTACAGGGTAAACCCGTGAAAAATATAGGCATGACCATTGCGCTACAATCTGAGAGGTACCCTCAAAATGGTCCATGTTCACGATGGGAACGTGCGCTCCATTCGATCGCAGAAGGCGGGTTTGCGCGAGTCGCAAAAGAGCCGTCCGTACTTGCTTTGGCGACAGCAACATCACCAAAATACACTTTCAAGGGGACCTTGGGTTCCAAGAAAGTTCCAAGCTCTGTACAAATCACTGGCCAAAACGTTCGGTGCTAGGAAGGGCGCCTGGTGCACCCTTCGGAATACGTCTCGCACCTCCTTGACGTGCGCAGAAAATATATATGAATATCAAATGGGGGTGTTCATGACCGACCGCAGGCGCCTACGGCAGCGCCAGCGCGGCAACCGATTAGTCAACAGGCGCGGCCGCGGTGGGCCTCACCACGTCATCAATGCCAACACTAGTCAAGGATGTGCAAACTCAGCGGTTACAGTCGTGTACCGCCGTGTCAGAGTCTGGAGGCTGTTGTCGAAGTACAGGAGGGAAATATTGTGGGGGCGAGCGCCTCGGGGGCGAACCATCATTTCGACATCGCGTGGAGCAACTTGCACACGGGATGACGTCCTTACACACGGGCTCAACCACTTAGCTACATTACTGAAGAGAGGATACGACGGGTAGTCCGACCTTGAGCAAGGCTGCAAGAGACTCCTATCGGAATTAGTCCGGCGTCCTCTTAACAAAAGGCGTTATCGGGCATATATACCATTGTCGGATGAGTAGATCAATGTTGTACCGAAGGCTGTTTTTACTGTGTCACTCCGTAGGTATGTCCGCATGTGCCTCGCAGGGAACGACGTGGCCTTGGCGTGGCTGCTTGCGAAGTGAAGGGGTCCGGATGCCCGACAGCGGGTGGGACCACCACCATGATCGACCGCGGTTGCTCACTACATAACCCGTAGATTTCAGCATTCCAGACGAATAGCTGCGTGCCCTAGATCGCCCGGCGTGCAGCTGGATGTTGATCATATTCCAAATCGGAGGCACGAGGGTAATAGGGCTAGCAAACAGAAGCAGTGGTGCCGCGGTTCCGTACTTGCTGCAGATGGCAAAGAGCAGCAGTCCATCGACCTGAAAGAGCACAGCAAAGGCGAAAATAACCACCCTCTTCACCTTTGTCCTCGCCGCCAAGAGCGCAAGGTCTGCCACGGGAGTATCGTAGCTGTTGATCCTGATGCTGCAAGTTTCTCCAGGCTTTGCTCCTTCCTCTTGCTCCTCTTCTCGTACCACCCCGCCCGTCGTCTTCTTGCGCTGTACCTTTCGCCGTAGAACACCCTCCTGCTGCGCCTGTTGTTCTTGCTTTTGCAAGATCGATTCATCTATCGCGCGCATGAGAGATCTCCCGCACAACCAGAAAGGTGCCATCAAGGAAATCGAAAGCGTAATTATCCCGGCCGAAACAACTTTGATGGCCGTGATTTGATGGCCCCAAGCACCTAGGACAACTGCAACAGTCGGGGCGAGGGAGACGAGGCCGTAGGTCGCAGCTTGCCCTCGGGAGGATTCCAGGAAGTGACATATCCTGAGCACCTCCGGGGAACGTTGCATCAACCGGCGATCGTTTCTGTGGTGCGCGTGGACGATCACGAGAGAGAGCCCGACGAGGAGGAAATGGGTTCATCGGGAGCGTGGCTGATGCAATATGCAGCTCTCTCGGATGAAGTGATCGTTCCGAGCTCTCTCGGATTCAGTGGTCATACCGCATGGGCTTCACCCAACATTATAATCGGTATTGCGCCTACTGGTACTTCTTCTGGAGGAAGACGACGAAATGAACAGATCGCTTTTGGAAGCGATAGTTGCGGTCTTTGCATAGGTGAACAGTTTTTACATTCCATTCTTTGAGTTGAAGGACAACACCAGGTGGTGGGTGCTTTGTGGTAAATCGTGGTGCGTGGCTTAATGGTTCAGAGATTAATAGGACATTACCCCCAAGCTCTAAACGCCAAGCGCGCTACCCACCAGCGCCCATCAACGTCAGCTAATTGCATCTACGAACGTACGTGTAAATCCACATGCGCGCAGCACAGACGGCGGCGCTGATGCAGACTGGTATCTGGAGCACGCCCAGCAACACAAACGACCTCTGCAGGTCGTCTGCAAGTACCATGGCGAAGTATCCACCGCTAAGAACAGCTACGGCAAGTGCTGATCTGTGGAACTGCAGTCGACATTTTTCGGCGGCCGCGGTCGAGGCCGATGCCACCCGTCTGTGGAAGTTGATCTGCGTGTGTTGCGGCGCAATAATTCGTGAGATAAACAACATGAAGCAGACGGCAGGCAGACGTCGTAGTTTGGCAGTGCTCCAGGAGGGTGGACTATGCCGGGAGGCATCGGGCAGAACGTGCTCGTCGTTCGGCCGCACGTTGTGGCGGTGAGCTCGACGAATTTGTAGGCCTGGAGTACCCGGTTGAAAGTATCTACATTAGCATTAGTCTAGTTTAATGCAGCACACACAAGTATTTCAGCAACGGCAGTGCACGCTGTCTCGGGGATGGGGATAACCGTCTCTGCAGCAGCGGGTGTGTGCTGTGTGCAGCGGTCGGTTGTACAGCAGCTGTGGTTGTACAGCAGCCTACACAGAGGTTAAACTTCGAGCGCGGGTGCAACTTGATGTGTGTCCCGGAACGACGAAGCAAAGAAAGATGTTTGATTACTGGCTGACTCCCGCGTCAGGTTTTGATGGTGCTAAAGTGGAGTGAGCACAAAGGGGGCGAGAGCGCGCTTGTGCCTCATCTCGAAAACAAAAAACAAACATACAACCGTCAAAACAGGGTTCTCCCGAGATCTACTTGCTGTACTGGTCGCTCGGGGCCTTTTTTGGACAACTCAACAAAAGTTTCACCGCAAACATTACGATAACTAAGAGTCTCCCTGCTCGAATTCAACATGTTCCGTCAATCTCTCTGACATATTCAGTCTCCCTGCTCGACTTCTACGCGCAGGCTTCTACCACTGCTGTGTATGTATCTAGGATAAAACTCTCAACCTATCATCCCTAGGCTATACGCGTAGAACGCATGTACTTGCACATATATATACATGCATCAAACAGACAGAGACGTCTTGTTGTGTTGCTGCAATCGACTTCAGAGAGAAATGCGTGACTCATGATGATGCAATACTGCAGGTATCCAGCGTGACTCATGATGCTACTGCAGGTATCCAGCCATGATACATATCTCCGACACGTTGCCCACGCGAAGCGCTACTCATCCTCTTACAGGACGTCATGACATATCGAACGGAAAATTGGGGTGTTGCAATGGTGCGCATGGCCAAGAACTAGTCACTAGTGTTTCATTCAGACTTTCCATACATGCATTGGCGCATGCGTACGTACTTTTTATCGCCCCACACTTTCTTGCCGGAAATCCTGGTACCTGGCGCTGTAACTAACCATGTTCCGACTGCCACAACCTACTCATAGAGAGCTGGTCTTTTGCGCAGTACCGTACGTGGTGTACAACAACAGCTATGAGCCTTGCTCTATGGTTGCTCCCTCGTCTGTCCTTTCTCGGGGAGGGGTCGGATGAAGAGGCTGCGCTACAGGTGGTCAGATCGACAGCTCGGGGATAGTCTACACACTCTGAAACAACCAGCTGATATTAAATCGATAGCGCACTCACAGAATGGGATTTAATGTAGCTTGTTGGCGTTGCGTAGATTCCCCTGTCTCCTGTGTGTGTCATTCGTATTAGGAATTCCTGTGTGTTTTTATTAATGGCATCGACCGCGCTTACCGGCTGACCAATGACAAGAGGTTAGTCTCAGTGCGGTTGACAATACGAAACACTTCTAAATACCATCAACTGGGATCCCGTGAGGAGGTGTCATGAGGGAGACTAATCTTTTCTCCGGATCAAAGACAGAAACAGTAGCAACAGAAGAACACTGCACACGTCTAGACTCTACGAAGGCTGCTACCTTGCACTCGAGTTCATCTTGTAGAATCGTTTCCCTACCAGTGCCTGTGGTAAATGGGGAAGAGTCTTCGACTGCGAGTGGCATGTGGCATTCGCGCAATTAATGTCTTCAGCATACCGGTCGCCCCGGTGGTCTAGTTGGTATCCTCGAAACCTTCTAGAGGTCAATCGGGGTTCGAATCCAGGCGTAAGCGAGCTTTCTTGCAAAGTAAGTTTTTCTCTCGCTTCCGCTTCTGGCGTAGTGAATAGCGCTAGTTCGTATGTACACAGAAAGAAGATAGTGCTGAACTCTTCTCGCGATAAAAATCGAAGGCAAGGTCCCGCAGGAGGGGAGAGGAGAGAGGGGCCCTTCTGTGTGACCACGGGTTGGAGTAAACGGCACTAGACTATCAGTGCTGTGAGTGCTGATTTGAAGTGAAGACAAGAAAAAAAAAAACATCACGCGAACCATCCTATTGTATTGTGCAGGAAGGCTGAGGCACCGGTCTTCGTGCAGACCAGGGAGTGGGATCAGCTCAACCGTTCCTTGCACAGTGACAATACACCTGCACTGCAAAGTGTACCTGCGTCACAGTCAGTTCGGTTGCGACTCCCAGTACATGACCTATTGATTCATGATAAAAGTCAGGTATAGCATTCGTTCGTCTGCTGAAAGCCCTTCCTTGTTGTGTTGTCAGCCACAATATAGCCCCTTTTTCCTTTCGCTCTCTCCAATCGAATCAATGCCCTTCTCCCCGACGTTTCCTTTGATCCTTCCTTTTCAAAATCTGTCTCCACCATATGGCACACTGAAATTGTGAGTGTGTGAGAATCACTGCTATTGTATACGTCCCTGGCAAGGTCGGGTGTCTGGTGACTCCGTTATCGGATGGTAGACTAGACTAGACCTTGTGGTGTGGGCATGAGGAGGGCTAGGGGGGAATTCATGAACATGTCACAAGCCTCAAGTAGCAGGTCACATTCACAGCACGCCACGAATGCTGATTCACCTGCTGATTGAGTTGATACCCTACATGGCATAAAGATACCATTGAAACCGCTAATCCAACCCAACCGAAGACGTCGTGAGCCTTGCGGGGCACGCACGAGGCCCGCCCGAAGATGTTGAGCTTGGACCAGTCGTCGTCCTTGCAGACGCAGGAGCAAATGCCGTCATCGTCATAAGAAGGATAGCCCTCCCCTCCCCAAAGGAAGGTCCGACAGCTCTGGATGCACATGATGGCCGCGGGAGGAGACTAAGAACATGCAAGGTTCTACGGTACGGGCGCAGTGCGCAACCGTGTGTGCGATTTTCCGACCAATTTTGAGCAGACGACGAACGGTTCGGCGGCGTAACTCGTGCCGTTTCATGGGTAAGGCGTCGGGATGATCATGTACGATCTTTGATTGTACTCATAGAATCGAATGCTTGCAATGGCTGGGTGAGGTGGCAAACCGTTCAGTTGCCGCCCTATAAGCCTCCACACCGACAGAGAGGTACAAAAGTGTCATCGTGTTCTCGCAGTATACCTCGAAACTGGGGTACATTCAAAAATCGCGTGCGTTATTTTCCCCCGGTCGCACCGCAGCAAGCAGGTCGTGGTGAGTTCGATCCTCGTGTTCTTTATGGAGTTGAACTACTACTGTAGAACGTCGCGAGGGTACGAACCAGATCACCGGGGCGACCGGTACACTCTGTTATACGTCGAACAAAACACCGAACGGTTTGCAGAAGGGAGCCAGCGTAATAGTACATGGAACGAACACAGGCTCAAGCAAGTACAGTCGACCCCGCTTTAAAGACACACCGCGTTTTTTTTTTGGAGTGTCTTTAACGCGGGGAAGTGTCTTTAGGATTCCGGGGCCACTAACTCACCGTCCCCGGGGTCAATGGAGGTGTAACATATGTCAAAATACGCGCATTTGAAGCAGGAATGCGACCACGAAATTGTGCTGCTTAAAAACTGCGACAACACGTCAATTGAAGGCCGCAACACTACTGCTGCTGTACTCCAATACTGTACACATTTTTGAATTTCCCTCCACCACCGAAACGCGGGAAGGAGTACAGCACGACCTATTGTAATGTGTACGGCAGTGTGCGCTGGTGTTGTTGCAGGCTTTTCTTATTGTCAAGGCGTTGTCTTCACGGTGAACATCATGCCCGTGATATCANGTGTTGTCCTCAAACACCAAAAACTACGTCGCCCACACATCCCGAAGAGTCGCCTGCACCTCACCCCCCTCCTTCGTTCTTCGCTTGACTTGAGTTTCATGAGTGAACGAATGCACAGTCTTCGAAAGAAGGTACACCGTTTCGCTGTACTCGCCGTCTCTTCCGTTCGCGTACAAATAGGAGCGGACATCCTCGAGACGAGAGCGAACCTCGGCCTCTGAAATCGTAGATGTCATGCACGACTCTTGCCTACCGTCCTGGTCTTCCTCTTCACTGGACACGTCGTCTTCGACGTGTACTCTTGACATGTTCTCCGTTACCTCTTCCATCTCGAGTTCTACCTCTTCCCTGAAGAGCTCTTCATCGTCCTCTACACTAAGCCACGTGCTCACTGCGCCCCGCACTTCTTGTTCAGTGAGGCCGGAGGTGCTCTCGACAAACAAGTTGTCCGACAACACTCGCGGCATGGACCTAGCGTCCAAGTCCTTGGCACTCTCCGGCAAGGACATCTTCTTGACCATATTGCAAAGGTCGTCCAAGGCGGCCGCTTCCTTGTCTTCTCGGTCCAGCCGCGTGTCTCTGCCCTTGAGCGCGTTCTCGTGCTCCCTAGGAAGAATGGTGGCCTTGAGCCAGCACCTGACAACAGTCTGGTCCGAGAAGCTCTCCCACTTCTGCGAAAGGATCTCCGTCACATCCAGCATTGTTGCCTGGCCTGCGTCGCTCAGGCCCCGGCAGCCCCTGCAAAACAACGTGGGTTCGCCACATGGCCTCAAGCCGGCAGCTGACGACCCGCCAGCAGATGGGAGGAATCTCTCCATACCCACACGCAGTAGTGCGGGCTGCAGCAGACCGCTGTCGATGTTACAATGCCTTACAGATTTGCTGCCCCAGCAAATTTTTTTTGGGGGGGCCGCATAGTGGAAACGCTACCCCCCTATATTATTGTACATCTGCGGGGCACCATGTTCTGGGGAAAAAATGTGTCTTTATAGCGGGGAGTTTCCTTAAGAAGAGTGTCTTTAAAGCGGGGACGACTGTATATTGATTTTACCCGGTGGCACCTTTCGTTCTGTTGGTCAGCCGTTTGGCGCCGTTCATGTCAATTGATATCGCAGCTTGCCTGGGGCAACCGCGCCGGTCCTCGACGAGTTTTTTTTACAGTATGAGGTAAGTTAGACAAATTCGGACTCAAAAATTCTAGGTTAGCCATCGTTCTAGGGATCGTTCCCGACAATCTCGCCACAGAACCCACAAGGAAAATAAATGAAATTCAGAAAAATACAGCGTTGGCCTCGAAGCTGGAAACATGCTGTATGTAGATTGAACAGCGGGGCTTTTCTTTTCATGGCAGGTAAACTGCTGTAGAATGGATTGATGATGTGTTTCGACGAGAACCCACAAGCATCACCCTAAATTCAATACTCGTAAAACGTCGTTGTCGACCGTCGGTCGTCATCTACTTGAAGATGAGTGCAGTCGTAATAACACATCAACATGGAAAGCAAAGTTTTTTTTCCCTTTTTTTGTGCATTGTGGAGTCTTGGCGGGTGTGAGTAGTTGTTGTGTGACTACGTTGGGTCTTTGACGGATATGATTACCACGCCGACCATGTACAGACGCGATGCGAGGATCCGAGGAGGAGCGTCCTTGACTGCAAAACGCGTCGGAGAGAACGGCAGTCCAGCACATGTACACTACTGGCGGTCTGTCTAAGTTGCGGTCAGCACATACATGTGCAAGTAACCCTACGCAGTCAGCAACACAGTATAGTTGATACCTACAAAGCACGATACGGCACAGCCGCGAAGGCGTCTTGATGACATCAATCCACCCATTCCTTCAGCTTTGACAGCGCCTAGATGGCGAGCGCGTGTGAGTGTGTTGCATAAGCAGCGGGAAGAACACCCTGTGTACAGCGCTTATCCAGCACCAGCACACTCATATGTGGAAGTCTGAGGACAGTCAGCAGTTGCAGTCGATACAGCAAATGCGTACACAGCACGATACGGCACAGCGGCGAATGCGTCTTCATGATATCACTCCACCCATCCCTTCAGCTTAGCAGCGCTTAGATGGCGAACACGGTTGAGTGTGTTGCTCAAGCACGGGTAAAAACAGGTTGTGTACAGCGCTTGATGACCAGCGCACCAGCGCACTCCTCAGCTACCTGCAGGGTACACACTGCGTACAGCACCCGCGGAGGTGTGCCCACTACTGTAGGTTCGCATTGGAGGCCTGAGGCGGCAGTCGACAACGACACGAGGACACACGGTATATGCGACATTGTAGCAAGGATGGGTAAAGATCGTGCCCTTCACGGTACGTTGAGCAAATTACGACCACACCACAGCTGCCACATCACCACTCCATAACAGGAAAAGAAGAGGAAATTTGGAACCGAACATCGAAATCGTTCTCCGGTCGCTGCAGAACGTTCCCGACGGTCTCGCCGAAAGCAGCGACAGCTATGTACGCACGTACACACGATCACACACCCCTGCCATCGACTGCAAGTCAACATCACCATGTGTGATACCATGGCCTCCTCCACCGATGGAGGATACCCCACTACTTCGCGCACGTTCTTGATCCTTCATTCCTGCCATTGCGTGCACATTATGCTCCACACATCCCGGTCAAGCTGGAATTAGCGCCACTTGGGCTGTACCAACCTTGCCACGCGCGCAGCTGAGCCATATCTTCTCCTCATATGCAACCTTCATCATCCACAACATCTTTATCGGCGCTTCCCTTCTTCGCAAATGATCATTCCTACCGCGACATCTCCTCAACTCTCTTCGAATTGTGCCCCCCCCGGCAATCCGGTGTTTGCCGTCGGGGTTGGGTTTTCGTCGCTTGGCAACGACGTTGTAAAACAAGCCCCCCCCCCGGTGTTTGCCCCCCGCGGTGTTTGCCATCGGGGTTGGGTTTTCGTCGCTTGGCAACGACGTTGTAAAACA